AGAGTCAATTTCTTCGCCTAAATTCGCTTTAAATAAAACATTTCGCCTATGCTTCTTTATGGCACTGATCGTATCTCGACAAAGTTTGGAACCTCCAAGGATCACATTGATTTTTCCCTTCGAACTTCTAGGTTCTTCTTCGTTGGACTGCCTAGGTCTTTTTAAATTCTGATCTTTAGGGGTATCCTTCGCCTCGTGATATTCTTTCACGAAATCTTCTATCTTGAATTTAGAAAGATCTCCACTGGCCCACAGCTCTGCGAGGTGCTTTTTGAGGACACTACAGTCTTTGGTTAAGTGTCCGGTTACCTTATGGATGTCACAATACAAACTTTCATCACGGACCCAAGTGTTCGACCTTCCTTTTCCTTGGAATTGCTTCCCGACGATATTGTTGAGGGGTTGCGGTCCGAACTTTTTTGGTCCTTGGCTCTCCCTTGGCTCAAACTTCTTGGTAGGGAAAGTGACTGCTGGTTTTGCTTGTTTGTTCCTTTTCGCAAAACTTTCTTTCTCGTCTTCTACTTCCATCCAGTTATTTGCACGGAAAAGTGCGTCTTGAATCGTGTCTGGTTTGTGAAGTATTAGGTCTTCTTTGAACCTTGAGTCATGCCACAAACCTTTTCGTAAAGCGGATAAAGCTGACTGCTGCGAGATTCTTGGGAGTTTTGACAGCACTCCTTTGAACTTGGTGATGAAAGTTCTAAGTGACTCATTTGGCCCTTGTGTTAGATTCCAAAGGTCAGCATCCGAAACGCTTTTATCCATGAGGATAGAATATTGTTTCAGGAATACAGCCGATAACTCGTCGAAGTTATTGATTGAGCCTGGTTCTAGCTGAGTGAACCACATTAGTGCTTGACCACAAAGATTTTCCGAAAAGAGTTTGCAGTATCCTGCATCTTCATCAGCTTCATCCAATTCGACTCTTCCAGCGGCAATCAGAAAAGCTGCGAGATAGCTCTTTGGGTCTTCTAATCCACTGTACGGATCCAGTTTGAGTTTCCGAGAATCCTTGATTCTCAAATTTGCAATTCGTGGAATGAAAGGAGTTCGCCTAGCTTCCTCGATGACTCGGTTGATGTCCGGCTCCGAACTGGTGGCCTGGTGGAACTTTGACTTCATTTCTTTTAGTTCCTGGCTAACCTTCCTCATGGTTTCGAGCTGATCGAAGCTCTCTTGATCATACTGATCTACAAGCTGATCTTCATCTCCGAGCTGCGTCTCTTCTTCCACATCCGGTTGAATTGTTGGGTTAGAAGTTGTTTGTTCGTTGGTTTCATTTCGTGCACGGGAGTTCGGCGTACTGAACATGCTTCTTCGGACTCCCACAGTATTTCCTGCACCTAGAGAACGAACACGAGATTGAATAGTATTGACGCTTTGACCAAGAGATACCTGGGTTGTTTTAAGCGTGTCCACAGCTTTTTCCACATCCGAGAATTTTTGCGACATTTCTGACATGGTTTGCTGCATGGCCTTGAGAGTTTCAGCTACTGACGAGTCAGGGATGCTTGCTCCAGACATTGCTGCTTATCTCGGAATGAGAGAAATCTGACAACTCAAGAATCTTCTAGTTCCCCACAGGCGGCGCCAAAATGTGGATGTCGGATTCACACACTTGAATATTTGTTTATTTTGTGGGAATGAATACTCTTGAGGACAAAAATACGATACAAAAAGCTATGAATTGAAATGAAAAATGATTATAGTGTATTTGCTAGAAAAGTTGCGTATATCCTTTACATGGCTCCTAGCCCTATTATTTATACTAACCAACGGACACATTTAACTCTCAATTAATACAATTATTCTCTCTTAAATGTGTCCGTTTTCGGTCTTCGAGTTTTAATGCTCAACGTTTGAATTTGCATTGATGTCGATCTTCGTGGGCTTCGCCTTTCGGCCCAAACTACTTTGAACCGTCCTGACTTTGACCTCGGACCACGTCCCGAGATGAGGCCACTTCGAGCTTCCTCCGTGATGATGCCCACTTCGATTATATCCTGTAAACCATGGGTTCAATGGGCCTTATCCTTTCCAGGCCTCCATTCTAATTACGTGGCAATCTTTGGTTGGTCCCGGTCTACTGGTGCGGGATCCGACACCAACAGTATATGTATAACTTCTAATAAATTTGGAAAAAGGCATGTCTTGGAAAGATTTTCATAACTTTCTTCTGGTTTGTATCATACCTATATAGATGCCATAGAATCGTATTATGGCATGATCGCCTTGGTCATCCACGCAACACAATGATGCGAAAATCATAGAGAGCTCACATGGATACTCATTGAAAAATCATGAGATAAATCAAGGAAATAAATTGACATGTGTATCATGTTCTCTTGGAAAATTGATCATAAGACCATCGTCAACCAAAATTGATAAAGAATCACCAAAGTTCTTTGAACGAGTTTCAAGTCGATAAATGTGGACCGATACATCCACCTAGTGGACCATTCCACTATTTTATTGTATTGATTGTCGCATCTAGCAAATGGTTACATGTTTGTTTATTGTCATCTCGAAATTTGACATTTGCGAGATTTATAACTCAGAAAATCAAATTAAGAGCTCAGTTCTCTAATTATTCCATTAAGAGAGTTAGACTAGACAACGCTGGTGAATTCACATCCCAAGCATTCAATGATTATTATATGGTAACGGGAATTGAAGTTGAACATCCTGTAGTTCATGTTCATACACAAAATGATTTGGCGGAATCATTAATTAAATGTCTGCAATTGATTGGAAGACCATTAATCGTGAGATCAAAACTTCCAACCTTTGTATGGGGACATGCCATTTTCCATGCAGAATCACTCATTCGGATAAACCAAGTGCATATCATAAATACTCCTCATTACATTTAGCATTTGGTCGAGAACCAAATATATCACATCTAAGAAATTTTTGGTTGTGCAGTGTATGTGCCTATAGCACCACCACAACGTACAAGGAAGGTTGGGTATATATATTGGCTATGATTCTCTATCAATTATATGATCCCTAGAACCACATACTGGTGATGTCTTTACGGCACATTTTGCCAATTATTATTTTGATGAGAAAGTATTTCCGGTTCTAGGAAAGAAAATAAGCAAGTAGGAAAAGATATCAAATGGTGTGTATCATCACTGTTACACCTTGATCCTCCTACAAAACAGTCAGAAATAAATTGTGGAAGATTCAAACTTCGGACACAACTGTATGTAAGCTTCCTTTTGTGTGCTCAAACAATGAATTTTGTTCCCGAAGTTTGAGCACACAAAAGGAAGGGCAAAACGGTCATTACACAAGACAGATGTGGTATGAGTGATAAATGGACCTGCAATGTGGTAGAAAGGAAAAGATTTGGGCCAAATGTGGCATATGTGTTAATTTTCTCATATTACTATATCTTTTACTAAATAAATAACAAATTTTGAAAATTTCCGAGAAAGTTTGCCCAAAAGAAAAAGTTCAAAGACAGTATTATAAATATTAGAATATTAATTTTATTACATACAATACCTTTTACTAAATAAATAACAAACTTTGAAAAGTTCAGAGATTCTTTCTTGTAAAAAAAAGATATAGGTAAATCAAGTGAGTTTTTATTTTTGTCATTTAGTAAAAATCCACATTAGTCATAACTAAAGTTATAGTAGCGTAAATCAAATGTTTGGTCACAAAATGAATCTGTTTGGGCTAAAATTGTGATTCAGATTCGGATAAAATCATATGGTTTTTTTGTTTAGACGAATCATGTAGCATTTAATTTATTTCATTTTATAGTCTCTTGAACCAATTTTAAAAGTGTTTGGACATCTTATAAAAGTTTGAACAATTTGATAGCTAAACACACATTTTACTTGTGTTTTCAAAAAGCTAGGTAACTTGTCTACGTTACTAGTATGAGAACACTTAGCAATGAATGGTTTGATGGTCATGGTTGTTAGACTTTGCTAGGTTTAGCCACTTAACGTTTATCCTCTTACTTCCTTAATGATAATGTTACAACCACACAACATATATATACTACATTTGATCTTAACCTAACTAATTCATAATTATCTAAGTTTACTAACACAAAATAATCCATTAACATTGGGCCTTAATGCAACATGGCCCAAAGTTTTTTTCTTCTTTCTTTCTTCTTTCATCTTACGACTTCACGATTCTAAATACCTTTGCAGTCAGTTATTTCTAAATACCTTTTACTAAATAAATAACAAATTTTGAAAAGTTCAGAGATTCTTTCTTGTGAAAAAAAGATATAGGTAAATCAAGTGAATTATTTTTGTCATTTAGTAAAAATCCACATTAGTCATAACTAAAGTTATAGTAGCGTAAATCAAATGTTTGTTTGGTCACAAAATGAATCTGTTTGGGCTAAAATTGTCACTCATTAGATTCGGATAAAATCATGTTGTGGTTTTTATTTAGACGAATCATGTAGCATTTAATTTATTTCATTTTATAGTCTCTTGAACCAATTTTAAAAGTGTTTGGACATCTTATAAAAGTTTGAACAATATGATAGCCAAACACACATTTTACTTGTGTTTTCAAAAAGCTAGGTAACTTTACTACGTTACTAGTATGAGAACCCTTAGCAATGAATGGTTTGATGGTCATGGTTGTTAGACTTTGCTAGGTTTAGCCACTTAACGTTTATCCTCTTACTTCCTTAATGATAATGTTACAACCACACAACGTATATATACTACATTTGAATTCATAATTATCTAAGTTTACCAACACAAAACAACCCATTAATATTGGGCCTTAATGCAACATGGCCCAAAATCTCTTTCTTCTTCCCTTCTTTTCACCCTCACGATTCTTCTTCTACTCTTCTTTCAACTTCTTCTTCCAACTTCTTTCGTTTCCAACAATGGTCACAACTTCATCGGCACCAACAACTCCTCACTGTCATCAGCGTTGAGCCCAATTCATATCAGAATTTGCTTATGGACCAGTTGGTACAAACGACAACAAACACATTTATAATATATAAAAAGTTTGTTTTTTTCTTTACCTCGTCGAAGAAACTGATGGAGAAGAGTTCTAAGAAAAAGCTGTGGAGATTGACAACATCGTTGGCCGAGATTGCGGATCTGCTTGTAAACACGATAAAGCCACTTCCACCATCTTCATGAGCTTCTCTCTATTCTGCCCCCGTGGTTCAAGTATACGTTCATCGGAAATGCTTCTCAGCGACAGAGTTTCTCTCGGAGACGAAGACAAACTCGCAATCAAATCTCCCGGATGTTTCCCCATTATAACTTCCAGTATCAGAACTCCGAAGCTATACACATCGCATTTCTCCGTCACCTTCATCGTGTAAGCAAACTCTGTTGCAAAAATTTCAGAAACAATCAATTTCAAATTCGAATTTAGGGATTTCAATTTCATTGATTTAGATTTACCTGGAGCGACGTAGCCGTAGGTTCCAGCAACGGCGGACCAATTTGATGAATCCGTCTTGAGAAGCTTCGCGGTGCCAAAATCGGAGATCTTAGCTGTGTAATCATTATCGAGAAGGATGTTGCCGCTGCTAATATCACGGTGGACGATCGGAGTTGATCGGTCATGGTGCATATACGATAACGCGTGAGCCACACCTTTCACGATGTTGATCCTTTTGGTCCAAGTGAGTTGCTTAGCTTCTTCTTCGTTGGCTAAGAGTTTGTTTAAACTTCCTTTTTCCATGTACTCGTAGATCAGAAAAGTGTGGCGGCGGTGAGAGCAGAAGCCGAAGAGCTTCACCACGTTGCGGTGACGGATCTCTGTTAACGCTCTTACTTCGTTTAGGAACTCTTGATTCACCACTGGCTTTGATATCTCTTCGTCTACTGTATCATGTAGCCTTTTCACGGCTACGATCGCATCTGGGAGGTTTGCTTTGTAGACTTTGCTGTATCCTCCGCTTCCGATGAGGTATCTTTGATCGAATTCGTTTGTTGATTCGATGATATCTTGGTATTTGAATTTGCCATCAACGCTGAATATGGACATATTCTCTCCAGTTTCAGAATCTGTGTTTCTTCCATTGTGTGGTTTTCGTTTCCGAAGGTAGTAGGTAAATGCGCCTGCACATATAGAGAGAATGACGAGTGCTCCTAGGATTGGCAGTAGTATCCACACAAGAAGGTTGCCGTTCTTCTTCGGCTTTTGGAACCCACCAGAAGTGATAGGGCATGAATTCAACCTTTGTTTAGGAATATTACTGCATAAGCCTCTGTTTCCCTCCAATGCATCTGCTGTTGCGTTTCGAAACGCTGGAATGTCTGGAAGCGGACCCTCGAGTTTATTGTTTGATATATCGATGTACGTCAGCGCTTTCATGCTCTCGAAAGTTGTTGGAATGAAACCCGAGAGATTGTTGTGTGAGAGGTCGAGCTTGTCGAGGCTTTGCAGGGAGCTGAGCTGTGATGGGATTTCTCCGTCGAAATGATTGTGGCTGAGATCAAGATGCGTTAACTGAGTCAGCTTTGTTAGTCCGGGAATGCATCCATCGAAATTGTTTCTGCTCAGGTTCATGTCATGAAGCTTACCAAAGGAGTCAAAGGTTTGTGGGATCTGGGAGCTGAATCTGTTTGAGGATAAGTCAAGAGACTCAAGATTGGTTAAGAAACTTATTCGTGCAGGAACTCTTCCAGATAACTGATTCGCATTAAGTCGTAGCCTCGACAAATTCGTGAGATTTCCAATTGCTTCTGGAAGCTCACCAGTGAGGTTGTTGGTAGACAGATCCAGCTCAACTAGTCCTGTCATGTTCCAAATCTCTAGTGGAATAGACGTGATGTTGTTGTTTGACATGATCAAGGCACCTAGCTTTGGACTCTTCTGCCAGTTGCCTGACATCTCACCGTGTAATTTGTTGTGGCTGAGATCAATGAAGTCAAGATCTGGGTAAATCCCAAAAGCCTCAGAAATATCTCCAGTGAATTTGTTCCCTCTGAATGTTGCTCTGATCAGGCTCTTGCAATCTCTCAAGCTTTTCGGGATATGACCTTCGAGGTGATTATAATCTAATGAGATATTCTGAAGCTTGCCACCTTTGCAAATGTTCTCAGGTAAGAAACCGGTGAAGTTGTTTCTGGCGAGTTGCAATTCAGTTAGCTCTGAAGAATTTGCTAGTCCCGGCGGGATCGCACCAGAGAGGTGGTTATAACTGAGATACAAACTTTTCAGCTTGGTAAAGTTACCAAAGGAAGAAGGAATTGAACCGGTAAGTTTGTTGTCACTTACCGCTAATTCTGTCATAGATTCTATGTTGCCTAGTTCTGGGGGAATGTCACCAGTTAGATAATTAAGGTAAAGATAGAGAACCGTCAAGTTCTTGAGATTTCCTAAGGAAGAAGGAATTGAACCGGTAAGTTTGTTATTAGAAAGAGAGAGTGTTTTGAGGTTTCGCAAATTGCCAAGCTCAAGTGGGATTTCTCCGGTTAAGTGGTTTATGGAGAGGTCAAAGTAGATGACTTTAGAGAGGTTTCCAAATTGAGGGGGAATGGTTCCAGAGAAATGGTTCATGCTAAGATCAATGTAAGCAAGGTTTGGGAGAGAAGAAAAGGGGAAATCTTGGAAAGTACCTTCTATAGCATTGTCAGTGAGGTCTAACTCTTCGATACTCCCTCGTGAGTTGCAGGAAACACCATACCAACTGGTGCAGGAAAAGCTAGGATTGGTGTTTGCATCATTGACCCATGAAGACAACTTTGATGAGTGACTCTGGTTCGTGAAAGTGGATTTCCATTTCAGAAGAGCATTTGCTTCTGCGATAGTTGCAGAAGCTGAAATAGAACAGCTCAAAATTATTGATATGAACAAAAGAAAACGAAGATTATAAAGATTCTTCTCTGCAAAACCCATCCTCACTTACTTTCACTCTCTCTCTCTTACCTTTCTCTCTTAGTTGGTGTTAGATAAAGCTATCCAAGTTCTGACTATTTAATAATCCTCATGTGCACTCAGTGATTGACTTGGGGTCGTCTCCTTGATAATGAAGGCCTAACCATGCAGTGGGTTCGAATTACTATTTTGGCTGCTTACTTTGTGCATAGAAAAGTGCTTACGGTTTCTTCGTTGAACATTCAGTATTGAGTGAATGAATATTTATATTGGTCGTTGTGTTTTGGAAGTCATTGTGTTTTGGAAGTCATTGTGTTTATGAAAATAGTACTAATGGATAATATTGGCCAAGAAGTCGAATATGAGATGGATTGGTTAATGGTTAGTTGGTTACTATTCAGCATAGACAAAAACTAAAATGAATGGTGCTCATTAACTATTGTTTTATTTTATTTTCCCACAATTTGCTTGGCTTCTGCTTGGATTGGTTAATGGTTATTATTCATCATAAACAAAAACTTGTATTCGTTGTTTAGTCTTCCTCTTTTCTAACAATCTTCAGCTTTTTTGTAGCTCAAGCCTCAAGTTGTGTAGGTTTTTTTTTTTTTTTATGGGTAGAATGATAATGGTATCATGTAATAAAATTTATTTTTATGCACAATCTGATATTTTTCAGTTATTTATTATAAATTATGCATTAAAATCTGGTGTTATTAAATATGATATTTGTAAATCATGCTTTAAAACTTTTAATGTTTTGGTGCTATTCGATTAAAATTTTAAAATATTTCATATTGAATTCTAGTGTTATCTAAAATTGTTTTTTTTTTAACTTTGCTTCATAACTTTGATATTAATTGGAAAGACAGTAAAAAAAAATAGAATTTTGTGTCCGTTTGACCAAAAATAGAATTGTCGTAAGTTATGACGCTTTTTGTTAGAAAGACGGATCCATAAAAAGTTTAGCTATCCAAAAGTTAAGCGTCCAACAAAAAAACTTATAGTAATGGTTTTGATACTTCTTATAAACCTCCTCACTTCAAATTATGTTTCTTTCTAGACTTATTTATACATAGTATATAATAAACTAGGTTAGGACCCGTGTTATTAACGGGTTAATCGATAAATGTTTATTTTATAGAAATTTTAGTAATTATTTTTGCAATTGTACAAATATCATTGAATTACAATTGAATCAACTATAAATTTTATTATATTTTTGGGTTTGAAACCCTAAATTTTATTTTCAGATAGTTTAAAGTTTAGAATAATAGGAATTAAGAAAATATAGATATTTTAAGTAATATATGATTTAACAAATATGTTGATTATATATAGAAGGTCTCGTAACCCAAAATCTAGTTTTTTTTTTTTTTAAACTTAACCATTGATAAGTCAAAATTTAATTAGTTTAATCTTATAACTGTCATCGTGTTTTAAATTAAATACTCATTTACTATTTGACTTCTAAATAGTAATAGATGTTTTTTAAAATTTTATCTGATTTTTTAAAACCAAAATTCAGTCTGACAAATTCTACTTTGCAATACAATTTAGTTCTACAATTTAACCGTTTTTTTCAAAATAATAAACTGTTTAATTCTACACACTCCATCTTAATGGATAAAAGCTAAAAAATTTAATTCTACACACTCCATCTTATTTTTTTTTTCTGATATTTGAATCCTAAATAGAAACCACACATTTTTTCTATATTAATATTCTAATTACAAATCAAATCGACGTCTCCAAACGACGCGTTTTGTTCAAGGTCCAAGAGACTAGTGGAGATGGCGAAGATGTTAAAAGAGCTTAGACAGAAAGTGCGAGATGTTCTTGAAGTGGAGGTGGCTCCCACCGGAGGTCCGAGGTTGCAAGAGGCGGCGATGAAGCTTTACTCGAGGAAGACAGAGTAAGAGAAGATAGATTTGCTTTAGGGAATGCATGCAGTGGAGTTTGCGGCGAAGAGATTCTTATTTTGAATTAATTTAGGAAGTTTTTTTTTAAAAATTTGTAATTTTTTTGTCGTTGAAATGGAGATTTGTTTGAGTTTATTACAGAATTTAGCAATTATTCACAATACTGAATATATTATGAACATATTTTTGGTATATAATAAGTGACATTTACCTAGAATGACTCACAACTTAGGAAAAATAACATAAATGACACCCGTTTGATTTGGAATACTAGACTAACCCATATTTTAAGTAGAAAGTCTAATTAACCTTCTTCATTAACATTAATAACAATCATGCCATTATAATTTAATTAAAACAAAAAAAGAAATTTAACTAATATGTAAATAATAAATCAATTTTTTGCGTTTTATTATTTGGAAACCAAAACGACATTGAGTCTTCTCTTCAAACTCTACGATTTCTCTCCCAAAAAACCCTAGAAATCCTTGGTCGCCGTCGAGTCTTTGTTTGAAGTCGCCGTCGATTCTCCGTGTGAAGTCGCCGTCGATAGTCCTAATCTTCCGTCCAAATGCATGTCGAAAGTTTGCTCGCCGTTGAGTCTCCGTTGGTCATTGAGTCGCCGTAATTGCTTTCTTCTCCGGTGGTTTTTCTTCGCCGGCGACTCGATCTCTGGCGAGACGTTTTGGTTTCGAGACATTTGGTAGGCTAAAAGAAGAAGAGAAAAATGAAAACCGTTATTGGACCAAAAACCCTAGAAGAATATTCCTTCTCTAATTATTAGAAACTTAATGCATTAAACGTCAAATATGGCAATAATTTGTACAAATCTGTCGGAGATAATAAAAGTCTGTCATAACCAAACGCAATCAAACCGGTTTAAATATATACAAGCAAACCGGCAAGATTTGGAGTTCTGTTAAATTTGAGGCTAGATATTAAATGAGCGAACTGTTAAAATGGACCATTTAACAATACTAATTATAATAATGGTACCATAAAAAAGAAATTTGTAGGAGTGGTACACTTTTAGATGGAAATACAATGTACCCCCTTCCTTTTCAAAATAATAACAAAAATATCATTTGTTCTTACATTTTTTCGTTAGCTAGTAATATACCACTTTAAATCCATGTAACGCATATGTCTGACGACTACTAGCTTTTACAATGGTGAATGGTCGGCTTCGCTTCTCGTCGAGTATCATCTGGCTTTTCTAAGCGGTGATTAGCCCCGCTTATGGTTTAGTTCCGGCGTAGTCCGTTTTTCCAATCTCTTTTACGGTTACTTTTAAAACTCATTTGTTCTGTGTTGGCGACAACGTTTGTCTCTCTCCAGCTCTCGTTCTTAGTATGCGTAGACGTAGTACAAACATATCACTAACATGAATTAAACCCAAAAGAAACAGAAGTTGTTTTTATGGAAGAGACTCAGAAACTACGTCTCTGCAGGTGCAGGTCTCTGTAGTCTGCAGAATGGAAGCAGTCTCGTTCTTAGTATGCGTAGTTGTAGTACAAACATATCACTAACAAGAATGAACCCCAAAAGAAACAAAAGTTGTTTTTATGGAAGAGACTCTGAAACTACGTCTCTGCAGGTGCAGGTCTCTGCAGTCTGTAGAATGGAAACAGTTTTGTAAAATCTAAGATTTCTCTGTGACTTAATTTGGGCCTCATCGTTTTCTGATCATTTGCTCGTTTGTTCAAACAATTCAAAACTGCTCTGGTACCTGGCCTGAAAGGATGTGCGGGCTTAGGCCCAAAATCTCTTAGTAATTCAAAAAAAAAAAATGACTCTTGCATTGTCTGTTGACTTTCAATTTAATCACGAACTTCCTTTCGTTTACAAAGCCAATTGAGGCACATCGTTAAATGTGCCTCTCTCTCACATACTACTTACAATCAACTGTAAAACACCGATGTAAGGTTAATAGCCAGAGAGCTGTTTCCGGAAAACCATCTTCTTCTTGTTCCACGGGAGAAGATTACTATCAACAGACCGATACGTTAAATAGTAGTTCTGGCAGACCAAAGAAAAAGCTAAATTTACACAGAGTACGCCACATAGCTAACATTGTCAATCAACGTGTCCTATAAACTAAACTCTGCTACCTATCCGCGATCAAATTGCTTTAGCCTTGGCATTGCTCTGCTACTTTTTATTTCATATTCCTCACGTGCGCCGTTTTTTTTTCCTTTTGTTCGCCGTGTTTTATCCGCATGTGCGCCGCCAGTTTACACATAGTTATACACAAGAGAGTAGTTATACCCATGTTCCACATAGTTCTACTTTTGCTGTATTCCAGTAAGATTAGTATTACGTACCCCAAAAATTTATATTTCTAGTTGTACGATTGATTGAAGTCGCTAACAATGTAATTCAGAATGTGTAGATTCGCATTTTATTGTGTTTGCATGAGGATGAACTTTCACCATTTGTAATTTTACAAATCTAGCTATTGCAATGTTTACAAACCTAATGTATTGTTGTTATTAAACTTAATAAGAACATTATTAAACCTAGCTATTTGTATTGTTTAGAAACCTATTGTATTGTTATGGCGGAGATGGATGCATAAAACACTCAGAATTAAACGTTTAGCCACTTAATTCAATTTTACAACTAGGAAAGTAAGTAATCACTAGAGTTCATTTGTATGTTTAGATCTTATTTCTAGTATGAAACGCTCCCTTTCTTTGTTTGGTAGGAATTTTGTGTCGGCAGAACATCTGCGCATATGACATTACATATCGCTCTCCAAAAAGCCGAGATACAGCAAAGGTATAAATCAAATATATTAAACTCTGCTACCTCTATCCGCGATCAAATTGCTTTAGCCTTGGCATTTCTCTGCTACTTTTTATTTCATGTATTTCTATAATACTCTACAGTTTTTAACTTATTATGCGACAAGTCGCCTGAGGCAACGACGGTCCTACCTATTTTTTTTGTTACGTTGACTTCTTCTCTATGCAATAAACATTGCATATACTCAAAGAAATGGCTTCATTATATCACTCGCATAGCTTATTTGTCCACATCCAGACCATTCGCCGACTCAACTAGGACTAACTGGGCTGGGGACAGTAGAAAAGAGGATCTATGCATCGGTTCAATGAAGCAGAATCCAAACGGTTAATACGACATTAACTAGAACAAGTAAACAACTATAGATTTATTGCTCGTCAACTTATAACAAAAGAAGGATAGAAAAGTGATGAGGAGCGGAAGCGCACAGTGTGCCTTTAGAGACCGTAAGGGATCCCTAGCGCCAAGATAAAAGAATTTAATCTGCTATGCGCACAGTGTGCATAT